TGTAAAAGCAAGGTTTTAATTGTATTGATTGTTCATCCAACCATGACAGGGACCCCATCTAGCAAACTAACACAGCAGCCTCCAGAGGGAGTGAGGTTCCCTGTCTACTGCTAGGTTTTAAAGGCAAAAGTTACAGAATGACACTAGTAGGTACGGGTTGGTTTCTGATTGGTTGATATTTGAGAACAACTAGGAGAATTTCTCAAAGTCATATTTGGCATGAAATACCTGTGTGCCAATTATTTTCATTGGTCAGTGCTGAGAGGGAACATTCTGTGGTTTCTATGGCATTGTCTTGTTACTTGTAGGTGGCCTGTAGTTCACAGATAGTTTTCAGAACTATATCCTGGAGACTACAGGGGAGGTTTTGGTCCCCCCCCCCAGAGTTTCTTTTGTGGTCAAACAGTTCCCAGAAACCAAGTACCTAGGCGGTTAGGGGGGTCTGGAGTTTCTTTGTGTTCAGTTTTGGCCCTAGGCTCCGGGAGGCCAGAGGATCTGGAGTTTCTTTGTGTCAGAGGCCTACGTGTCTTTTCTGTAGCCTGTCATGGCTGCTAAAGCAGGGGGCTGAGCGAGGGTCTGGTCCCTTGGTTTCTAAATTATTAGAAGTGAAGCCTTTGAGTTCATTTACCCCTTTCATTTTATTTCTATCAAAGGTAGCTAGACTGCCAATATTTCCATAAATGTCCCCCACCTGTGATCTCCTCATCTTGTAAAACCTGTGTGCAGATTTTCCAATCTCCCCCGCCTATGTGTTTATAAAAGGTCCCACTGTGTCTCCAGAATGTCGTGGCCTGGAGCCGTCCCTTCTAAGTTTCCTTCATTTCCTTTGGAAGACTGTGAGGTAGGCCACAGCCAATGGGGAAAAGACACAGTCACCACGTCACTAGAACGAAGCCTCGTGTCCTTGCGGCCCTGCCCCTAGGTGCTCGCCAGCCCCATTTGGGTTGGGCAGTGCACTCTTTACAAAAAGAAACTGCCTTGCCAGGTTCCTTTTCATTTGGTGTGTTCTTCGTTTGTTCCCAACGGTACTATGCCTAGCTCAACCACGCAGCCCATGCCCACAGCCTAGGAAGCCATCTCTCCAGGGCCCCCAACCTTTCCCTCTGTCTGTTGTTGAGTGATGACTTCCCCTGAGGAATTTTCGCTAGGAACAGCCAACTGGTATAGTGTGAGACTCTGCCTTCCCAGAATCCCCTTCCTGAAACAAGCTACGTGGATGCCATGGGCGCCAGGGTCAACCCTGAAGGACCCTTGGCAGCCAGGAAGAGTCACGCCTCGGCGATTCTGTCTTCTCTTTTCTTTCCCCTCAGTTGTCCTCTCCTTCCCTTCCCTCCCTGGTGTTACTCCTGGTGGCAGTCTCTTAGGAAGCTCCCGACACGTGGGCAGCGGTGGCACCTGTCCACCGTCCCAGCACTGGGTGGGGCTGAGGCAGGAGGTCCCAGGTTATCCAGGTGATTTAAACACGACACTGCTGTGGGGACAGACAGGGAGGTGAATAAAACAGAGTCTGAAACACACACCCTATGCAGAAGAATATTATCAAAGCACAGCCCATGAGAAAGTCCACGTTGTGTCATGACAGATAAACATTTCCAGTCACTTTTCTTGAGGAGGAAAAGAACAAAGCTGACCTCCTGTGTTACTGTGTGGCACAACAGAAATTCCATGCTGATCAAAGATTTTAAAGTAAAAAATTGCTTTAAATGGGAGACAGCTCTATTGGTAAAGTACTTGCCATACAATCACGAGGACCTGAGTTCACATCCCCAAAAGTCATAGCAAAAAGTTTGGCACAGAAGCTGACCTGTAATTCCAGTGCTGGGAGGTAGAGGCAGGAGGATTACTGGCCTAGGCAGTGAGCTGCAGGTTCAGTGAGAGACCCTGTCTCAAAAAATATGTGGAGAACACTAGAGCGAGACACCTGGCATAGACCTCTGGTTTCCATAAGCATAAGTATATAGCTGCACACACCACACACATGCACACATACACACATCACACATCATACACACACACCACACATACACCACACACACATACACACACCATACCTCACACCACACACACTACACACACATATTACACATACACACACTACATACACATCACATACCACGCACACACCACACACATGCACACATACACACACCACACCACACATCATACACACACACCACAATACACATATCACACATACATACACCACACACACACATCACACCACACACACATATCACATACATACACCACACACACACATATACACACCATACACACACACTACACACACATATTACACATAAACACACTACATACACATCACATACCACGCACACACCACACACATGCACACATACACACACCACACCACACACACATATCACACATATATATATACCACACACACAACCCTACACACACATATCACACTACACACACTACACACACACATCACACACCACACACATGCACACATATACACACCACACCACATATACCACACATCACACACACACCACACATAAACACACCATACATACACATCACACCACACACACACATACACACATCACACCACACATCATACATACATACACATACACCACACATACACATCATACTACACACACACCTCACATGCACACATAACACATGCACACATCACACATGCACAATCACACACACATACCACACATGCACACCACACCACACATACATACACCACACAAACACATCACACACACACACACACACACACAGCTGGTACTGTTGAATGATGGAGTACTTGCAGAGGACTCACAAGGACTTGGCTTTAATCCTCAGCAAACCCCCCACACACAAAGAAATCACAAAATATGAACACAAAAAAGTTATTAAAAATTGGCCTATGGTTTCTAAGGACAAAAATAAATAAAATAGTAGCAAGTGAAATAAAAATTTGTCTATGGTCAAATATACCCTAATAAAAAGGAGCTATTTCCTAACACACAACATTTAGAAATTGCGAATAACATGGGAAGTCAGTTTACAGGAGCAGAACACACCAAGAATGCAAACATAGGTGATGTCAGCCTCACTTACAAGTGTGAAGACAGACAAGGACTTTGGGGTTGGAGAGACGCCCAGCTATTAGGAGCACTGGCTGCTCTTGCAGAAGATCAGAGTTCAGTTCCCAGAGCCCACATCAGCACCACACCAGGAGGTTCACAACCACTGTAATCCAGCTCCAGAGGACTGAATGGCTTCTCCTTGCCTCTGTAGGTACCTGTGAGCACGCGTGCGCGCGCGCGCGCACACACACACACACACACACACACACGCACATATACATACCACACCACACATGAATACATCACACACGTATATTCACACCACACACACACACACACACACACACACACACACACAGTAGCAACAATAATGAAAAAACACAATAAGCTATGTCTTCCAACCAGCAGGCAGACAGCCAAGAGCCGTGAGTAACAGTACCGGGAACTGCAGAGAACACGTGGGGGACTGTGGGGAGCTTTAAGGAGCACCCATGGAGCTGCAAGGAGCTGTGCAGAGGAGCTGCAGAGATGTAGAGGAGCGCCTGGGGAGCAGACCTCTGCTGTGGGCTCCGAGTGAGGCAGAGTGGCCTTTGGGGCCACCTGCTCAGGGTCTGCATCTCGCTGGCACTTGCTCAGCAGTTCCGTGGCCGTAAGCCTCTTCTAAGTCACATGCCCATTTTAAAAAGTGGCACGGGATTGTGTCTGCATGCTGATAGGAAGAGGGCTGGCTACATGGGAAAGCGTGTTAGCTCCATGCGGTGCAGTAGCATCACAGAGAAAGAGGTGGGCCCATACGGCATCCAAATATGGCAAAGAACTTGAATCAGTAAGATGCAAATAGCAGAAAAGGATGTAGAATAATCTGAAGTCTATTAAAAATAAAAACAAACAAACAAAAAACATGTATGTGATTTGAGACAACCATTCGGAAGAAGTCGATATCAGAAAATGCCATCTTGGCCTTCTGCCTGTTCATAAACTCCTACAACCTAGAAGAACTGCAGGGCAGGGAAAGTCGGCTGAGCACAGGTGAGGGCTGCCTAGGGAGAAATGGCGGGCTCCCGGAGCCAGGTGCCCACCCTGCGTTCTGAGCCCTGCGCTCACACCCTGTTTTCCAAAGCAGACTTGCAAGGTCTACTTGGGAAGTGCAGAGGCTTATTGGACCACAGAGGCATTCTGGTCAAGGCCAGCTACAAACTAAACTTGCCCAGGGTAAGGTAAAAGTACCATCTGGCTTACTTGAGGTCACATGACTGAGACCACAGTGTTCTTACACCAGGACTCCCTGCAGGTACAGATGCAGGCCACCTATCCAGAGTTGGTGTGAGCAACTGTTCCCGCTTCATAATAAAAGCCCTGGACACTCTGAGTAGTAAAAGCCAGGTATATTTATTTTTTGATTTTGCAGCATTCAGGACAAAAAGCAAAGATGCCTGGTGTGTCAATTCAGTGTAAAGTCACCCTTTCAAATCTCATTTCCCTGCCCCCTTGGATGCCCCGTTGGCTAAATTCTCCGGGCAGGTACAATCTTTCCTGCATGTCCAACATAGCCCCGACCGGCCTCCAAATCCACCATCCTCCCCGGGGGCTTGGAATTCCTTTCCCTTTTCTTGTAGGTAGGGCGAGTCACACAGCGGATTCTAACTCTTCAACACTAAAAAGCGTCCAGGCCAGCAGGTGCCAGCCACTGGGGTCAGGAAAGCAGGGTCCTGGTTCTTCCTGTTCATCTGTGATTCTTCGGATGAATTCTAAGCCCTGAAAATGGGCCACGAACTCTACCATTGTCTGAGAGTACTCGGGGGTGTGTCTCATCTGGGGGCTCTGACATCACCATGGGGAAGCTGCCCACTCTCAGTGGCTGACACCCTTGAGGTGAAGACCGGCCCCTCCCACAACCCCAGCTGTGAGCCCAGAGCACCTGCCCTCCCTTGTGAGTCACAATCCTGCCCTCTCTCAGGGCTCTACATCAGCCTGCTTTCTTCCTCAGGCGAGAGGGTGCCAGTCTCCCTGCCCTTACCAGGCCATCTCAGCCTTGGGACCCTGCTAGGCAGCACCACCGAAGAGGGACAGATCATGGGCAGGTACGGTCCCGTGCGCATTCCTTCACCTTGGAGAAGGCTGTTGATGACTCAGTCTTGCTGGCCACTCAAGAGTCGCCCCTGAACCACGGGTGCAGGCTGGGAGGAGGGGGTGGTGTCTGGCTTGGTTTTGTGACAGGCATCTTTCATACCTAAGGCGCAGAATCCGGGGGACATATGCTAGGGTGAGCAGTCCCGTTCTGCACAGTAGATACCAGGGTTCACCTGGGCTTTGGGATGGGCCTGGGGCTTCCTTCTAGAACAAGGTAAATAGTCCAACCAAAGAGTGTTTTCCATCCACGTGCCCTGAGGAGATGGTGCAGGGGGCCGGGGGGCTGCAGGAAGCAGTACAGTACAGAGAAGGCTCAGGTGTAGCCCAGGCTGATTGGTTCTCCCCACCGTCAGCATTTCTGAATGCGAGGCGGCACGCCCCTTCCCATGTCCGGGTAAGTCCCTGGGCTTGGGTGACCTTCAGCAAGCAGCCCAAACAGGAACATGGGTGGCCCGTGACAATAAGACAACTCTTGTGACGTGATCTGTGTACGATGGTTGGAAAGAAGTCAGACTTGGGGGCCTATGGCATGACCCCGGCTGATCCCAGCAGACCATTGTAGGAAGGGATTGCCCACACTCAGTGGGCGTCTTAGTTTTACTTTGCAGAGTTCTTCCTCAGAAGATTTATTGTTGTAAGTATTGCTCCCTTAAGAATATTTTTCTTTGGAAAACTAGATGATCTTCTAAGGATAGAGCAGTATCTATGTATATCAAACGCAGAAAGGCACATGTGTTTCCTTACTTGACGAATCAAACCGGGGACTCACTGTATATAGGGACGTGCACACAGTATGCATACACAGACATGTACACCTCTATACACTGAATACACATTGTGGTGTGTCTTACAAATGCACACTTTTATGATATAGTCTGTTGCTTTAAAAAAAATCTCCACGGCTGGGCGTTGGTGGCGCACGCCTTTAATCCCAGCACTCGGGAGGCAGAGGCAGGCGGATCTCTGTGAGTTCGAGACCAGCCTGGACTACCAAGTGAGTTCCAGGACAGGCTCCAAAGCCACAGAGAAACCTTGTCTCGAAAAACCAAAAAAAAAAAACTCCATCGTTTTATCTTACCAATAAAGACTTGTGTGCCAGGGATGAGCCACACGACAACTAGGAACAAGTTTTTTTTTCTTTTCCAGCAAATAATGCAATCTTGGGGTTCACAGTGTGATCAGATATCCTACAACAATATTCATGCATACATACATACATATATACATAGTGATATTTCATGGAAACGAGCTTTTCCTATGTTGTCCAAGCCAAGCACTAATTTTCCTGTTACTTCTATGTGTATGGGTGTTTTGCCTTCATGTATGTCTGTGTACCATGAATATGCCTGGTGTCCATAGAGGGCAGAAGAGAGCATTGGAACTGGAGTTACAGTTGTGAGCCCTTATGGGGGAGCTGGGAATTGAACTCAGATCCTCTGCAAGGGCAACAACTGGTCTTAAACAATGAGCCATCTCTCTAACCCCACAGTCTTTATAAATGGCCTTAATAACACCGGGGAGTTTCCCTACCTCTGAGGTCTACCTGCAGATCTTCCCCATGACCAGTTCGATAGTTCCTAGTCTGATCATTGCCAGCAGAGGGACGCTTTACAAACAGGCTTTACAAAGCAAGTGCTGTCCAACCCCAGTGCACTTTGGAAAATACACAGTGGTTCTAAATAATGCATTAAAAATTTAACCTGGAAGCCTAGTGGTGATGGCACACACCTCTAATCCCAGCACTCAGGAGGCAGAGGCAGGTGGATCTCTGTGAGTTCAAGGCCAGCTACAGAGCAAGTTTCAGGACAGTCAGTTTTACAGAGAAACCCTATCTCTGGGGGGGGGGGGGCGGGATTAACCATGGAACACATTGGCGCTCTAACACCCTCCAAGGTTGAAGAGACTGCATCCCAGGTAACAACCGGAAGCAAGAGGGCCACAAAGCTAGGTAAATGCACTCAGGAGGACATTCGTCCAGCATGGGGACAGAGTGCCAGATTTGTGGGTGTACATATGTTGTGGGGGCAAGGCCCAAACACATCCTCTGAGTTTTCCCAGGGTAACATAGTACCTCTTTGCTTGTGGGGACAGAGCAACCAATTACAAGAATGCACAGGACACACCAGCCGGGTTACCACTTGTGTACACCTTGTCTGAGGGCTGCGGGCACGCGAGAAGGTGTGTCTCAGCTCTCGTGGTACTTGATGGGTATTGTGCACACCGTGAGTCGCCCATTTCACCAAGCTGACAGCGCTGTACTGGTTTTCCCTTTCCTGATGGCAGAAAAACCTGCCCTGGGGCGGGGGGGGGGGGGCAGTTGTGGATCAGAGCTGTGACTGGTGGTGGGGTTTACTCTACTGCCCTGGTGGGTATGGACTTATAGGTATGTTTCCTGCCCTAATTGTGTTTGGCTGACTGCTTTCCCTTTGGTCCAGCTCTTACAGTCTGCGTGGATTTGCTTGACTGGCTTCTGCATTTGCTCGTCCGCTCGGTTCGTATCTGTTTCCTCCTCTGGCACTTTGCCCCAGGAACACAGGCTCCTGGCCATACTGACAGCAGTCAGCTCCAGCTCTGCAGTGACACCCGGTGCAGCATGGCGCCAGCAGTGTCTGGGAACAGATGCAGAGCAGAAGCTGTGCCTCCAGCACTGGAGAGGAAAAGGAGATGCTCAGAAATCCAAAGGCGTTGTGTGTTGGCATGCACTCGTGCCAGCTGGATCCTAGAGCAGAGCCTGGGGCCATGCTTTAGAGTGTGGGCGTGGGGTAGTGAATGACTCCTTGAGCTCTGGTTAGCCAGGCTCTGCTGCAGCAGCAGGGGCAGTAAGGTAGGGTTGAGCCCCGGTCTGGCATTCTTCTGTACCGGGTGGTTGTGCCTTAAATGGGTTGGATTTCATGGTCAGCGTCTCTGCAGGATCGACAGTTAAGGGTGGCTGGGTCATCGGGTCACTCGAAATGTCAACAGTGGAAGTGTGTTCTAGAACCTCTGAAAGATATCAAGCCCCAGATTCCCAGGTGTTCCCAAACTGGCGACCTGGGAATCGCTGGCATTCATCAGTTGTTAAGATGGGTTTGGGCTCTCTGGAAAGGGGTGGAAAGTAGTGGAAGGATGTCAGTGTCAACTGCAGACTCGCCATGGAGCCTTTGCTCAGACTGGCTCTGGCTGTGCCTCACCGAGGAAGAACACCGAGCCCGGGCAACTCCCCGTTCACCCAGGAGGAGGCCATTTGCTTAGTCTGGCTATTGCTGCCCACACTGTGGGGTTGGCAGTCAGCTCTGAGGTTGCAGGCACTTTGGAATACATACTAAGAGGAAAACCTCTTCCCAAAGTTGCAGTGGCACTGGTACAGATTACTAACTGGAAAGGCGGGGAGGCATGGAGAATGCCTGTTTCCAGAGCGTAAAAAAAATCCCAGAATTCCTAAGGAGACAGTCATCTCTGCATGCTTATGCTTCACCTTCCTTCGGGAAGTCAACAGAATCGGCCAACATTTATTCGGTGCCGCTTTCAGATTCCAAATGTAATTGCCAAAAGATCTGATAGCAGCTCGGTCACAGGAGCGCTTTCCCTAAAAGATTGCTTACATGTCCCTCAGATTACGAGCAGTCTTCAGCTACTTCAGCAGGGGGTTTACGAATAAAGTGACCGTGAAGTTCAAAGTCCCTGCTTTGGGCAGTGGCCACTGAAGGCTGTCGAGTTACACCACCGGCCTCCTGAGGTTAAAAAAAAAAACGAGTCTTCCTTGAGGTTCACATGAGGCACTGGGTCCTCACTTGATCTCCATTCAGGGAGCTCCTGTCCTCTGAGAACAGCTTTAAGACCGCAGCTTCAGTTTCTGAGCGGATGCTGCTCTGCTTGATGTGGTTTTGTTGATTTGTCTACCAGCTTGGCATAAGCCAGGGTCACATGAGAAGAGGGAGGCCTTAGCTGAAAAGAAACTGTCCACGGGTGGTGGATGTTGTCTTGATTGACGGCTGACGTGGGAGTGAGTACCGCCACTGGCAAAATGGTCCCCGGGGGTGTGTGTGTGACAGCAAACCAAGCAAATCAGAAAGAGCGAGCCAGTGAATGAAGTCCCTCTGCGGCCTTTGCGTTTTAGATCCCGCCTCTAGGTTCCTGGTTTGAGTTCCTGCCCTGACTTCCCTCCCTGATGCAGCGTGACCCAAGAGTTGTAGGATGAACTAAACCTTTTCCTCCCTGCCTTACTTAGTCAGGGTTTCTAACGCTGTGAAGAGACCCCATGACCATGGCAACTCCTGTAAGAGAAAACAGTTAACTGGGCCGGGTTACAGCTTCTCAGGGTTGGCCCACTGTCGTCATGGCAAGGAGCGTGCCGGCAAAGCAGGCAGACATGGTGCTGGAGAAGCAGCTGAGTGTTCTATATCTGGGTCTGCAAGCACAGGGAAGGGATACAGGGCCTGGCTTGGGCTTTTGAAACCTCCAAGGCCCACCACTAGTGACACACTTCCTCCAACAAGACCAGGTCCTAATCCTCCTCAAATGGCGCCACTACCTGATGACTAAGCATACGCCTATGGGGGCCATTCTTATTCAAACCCAACGTTGCTTTTGGTCATGGTGTTTCATTCCATGGAAACCCTGAGACAGATGCTAACTGTAGGTGGGGTGGTGCCTGACACGCCTGATACTTCTTGTACTGTCCGTGTCTAAGTGCCTTACCTTGGGAGCTCGGCCTTGGGTTTTCTCTCATGGTGAGATCAGTTTCCAGGTACAGAGCTTGCTAGTCTCTCCTCCCGTCCAAGTACAGGTCTGCAGGGATGCATCAGTCAGCCTTGGGTAGCAGTCAGGATCTGGGACAATGAGAGCATCCTTGATGTTTGGCCGAGAAAAGATCACATCTAAAACTCATTCTCACACTAGAGTTCGGGCAATGCTTTAGATGCCTCTTGAAGAACATCTCTTGCAGACTTGAATGCTTCCCATTTTCAGCATCCCCCCCCCCCCCCGACATAGATAAGGAGCATACTAGGGGGAAAGACATGGGCCGTTCCATTGATGCCGCAAACCAGTTCCCAAGTAGGAGAGCAGCTCAAAGGACATTGGCTCTGACTTGCCAAAGGGAAACCAGACCTCTTAGGGGGGTGTTCATAGACACCGAGGTCCCCGGAAGATCTAGATGAAGCTGGAGGAGCTGAGACAGCAGCAATTGGAAGTTGCTCTCAGGGCTAGTCGCCAGCCCCAGAGCACACTCCTGGTACGTTTGAGAAGCTGATGGAGTAAGAGACTAATAGCAAAAGAAAACACTGGGTGTTCTCCCATTGCACAGGAGTCATCAGGGGGTAATTACAGGCAGGATGATGGAGTTGAAGCCTACTAAAAACATCTCCAAAAAAAAATTAAACAGAAGCCACTAGATGAAGTTACAAGGTGAGCGTGCGACAGTCCACGTGACTCCAAGCATCGCATTGCTTCATGGGTTACCCCAGCTCACCTTGTCTTAATGTCGTTTGCTGGCGATCGCTGTGACTTAGGGCGGTTCTGGGAATCTCTGCACTGTTAGCCTCTTGGACTTTCACGGCTTCCTTTCTCGAGAGGAAACTTCAGTTTAGAGACTAAAGATGTTTCAGGGCTAAGGTGATGTGCACAAGGTGGTTTCCAGGGTTAGGGCACTTTTGAAAGTTTTGTGTGTGTGTGTGTGTGTGTGTGTGTGTGTGTGTGTGTGTGTATGTGTGTGTGTGTGTGTGTGTGTGCCCGTGTGTGCATAGGTGTACTGGCATGTGTGGAAGCCAGAGGACAACTTCAGGTGTCATCCTCGGGCATGCAGTCTACCTCTTTTTGAGACAGACTCCGAACCCCCCAAACCACCAGAAGACCATATCCGATGCAAAAACAAAGAGTCTTTTTAATTTACGAGTTAACTTGAGTTAAACTGGGCCCTCCATCTGTCCAACACAGCGGGTGGAAGAGGAGGGACCCCAGCAGCAGTTGGGCAGGGCATATATTGGGCAGCAAGGGGGAGTGTCTGGGGAGGGGGTCTGGTAGTTGCATAGCAACAGTCTCAGGATTGGTGCACCTCCAAGCTGGGGGAGCCTGTCCTGAGTTGATTGGTCAGCTGCCGCTTCAGGAAGTTTGTTGTATCTAGAGGCCTTCCCAGGGCAGCTGCTATGCCCTGCATGCCAGTGTTATCAGGAGAGCACATCCAGAGCCTGCCAGCTGACTTCTGATGGGTTCCTTGCCACGTGTAAGGGTATCTGGAGGCTGCTCCCTAGTGATTAGGGCAAGGTCGGGGGCTCAGCACATGCTTGTCTTGCTGGGTCTTTCCTGAAGCCTCATGGCTGCCAAAGCAAGGGGCTGGGTGAGGGTCTCACGCTGGTCTGCTGTCTACCCCTGCTGAGACAGGCTCTCACGCTGGTCCGGAGCTCTCCGATTAGGCTAGACTAGTCAATGGATCCTAGGGACTCTCTGCTCCTCCCACCTCACGAGCCCTGACGTTACAAGTACACACCACCACACCTGGTACTTTGACCTGAGTTGGGGGTCAGACTCGGGTCCTCATGCCTGCGATTTAAGCGCCTCACTGACTGGGTAGTCCAGTCCCCTCATCCCACATTAGAATATCCTGCTGGCTTAGTGCTGCATTCATATCCGTTATCAGCATAATAACCCACGCTCAGTCAATATTTAAATCCGTGTGTCACCAGTTAAGCTACAAGAGACATATCTCCATTATTGGTGGTCAGGTCAGTTACCAAGGCTGTAGGATTCTCTTGGTTTGTCCATACTTGGTAGAAATGACCAGGGACACAGCATTCTGGAAGCAGCCTAAAAACCATGTGCTTCACTAACAACTGCTTAGAAGGGTGCTTTTGGGAGACAAGGTCTCACTATGAAGCCCTGGCTGTCTGAAACTCTCTATATGAATGAGGCTGGCCTCAGACTCACAGAGATTTGCCTGCCTCTGACTCCAGAGTGACCGGACTAAAGGAGCGTGGCGCCACGCCCAGCATGGAGTGTTTCTTATTTGTCTTGAATACAGTGTGTAGAACACTGTTTGACACTCTGGACCTAACCTGTGCCTACATGGATTTTTAATGTTAATTAGCTAAGGGAAGTCCAAACTCAGTGCCACAGTGAGTGCCAGCTGTATCTTAAGAATTCGGTCAACCAGCACAGCTCTGGACTGAAATCCTGGGCTTTGCTGTCTTATAGTGGGTCCACGATCTCAAATGCTAACTGTTACACGAGAAATGGTACATATAAAATTGTTCTCTGCATGTAATGAAATACCACTTTCGTCACTTAAAACATCACTGCAACACTGTGAAATCACATCTTTGCCCAAAGTCTCTGGCCCTGGGATCTTATCATATAACATGTTCTTCAGAAGTTGGAGGAGGCATCTAAAAGTTGATGTCTTTTGTTTTGTTCTTTCTTTCTTTTTTTTTTTTTTTTAATTATTTGGCTTTCTCCAGACGGGGTTTCTCTGTGTATCCCTGACTGTCCTGGAACCTTCTCTGTAGCCCAGGCTGCCTGGCATTGAACTCACAGAGATCCAAGTACCTCTGCCTCCCAAGTGCTTGGATTAAAAATGTGCGTCACCTGCTGTTCTTTAGGACAGACACATATGCCACATTCTGAACTGTTGGCAGTTTCTCTGGACACAGGAGTTACTATCAAAGGCACACGAGATGTGATATTCCTATCTGCAGGTAACAAGGGAAAACATTGCAGAGTTGCTGATGGATGAGAGTCAGTCTTTTCCCCAGAGGACAGGCCTAAGGTGAACTTGAAACTGCCAAAGCTAGTGCATGAACTATCCACAGTTTATACGGCCGACCTACTTCTAACTCAGAGATGATGGGACCGCTTGGTACAAGCTCCATTTCTCGTGCTCTGATTGGTTTCTTTCAGGGAAGTACAATCTTATGCATCCGCTGGCATCCCCTGGTAGTGGCACGTGTCTGTCCGCAAAATGGAGAAAACCTTGAAGAATGTCCTAGTGGTCTCATGTGGGTTCTTCCTTCTCTTCACTGCCTACGGAGGCTTGCAGAATCTGCAGGTGAGATGCAACTTGTCTCGCTGTCCAGTTCTCCCCTGCACACCCTGCACCCACCCAGCCGCCCTGAAGCAATTCTTGTTTTTCAAATGAAGCCCTAACAAAGATTTGGTCTTGTTCCCCCAGAGTGACACCAGAGCTCGATAGCCCAGGTGTGTGTGTGTGTGTGTGTGTGTGTGTGTGTGTGTGTGTGTGTGTGAGACCCTGGTGCAAGAAGGAAGAGGGTTCAGCACACTTTGCTTTTGAGTGGTTAAAAAGAGACAAAATAAACTATTGTGGATTTTATGTGCTCTGGGCTTTGCGGTCAGGCAGAAATGTCAGTTTGTCAATCCTCACTCGACCTTATAAGAAGCTTTAGGCAAAACTATGAAATGTTGCCAGGCATTTAGTGGCGCACGCCTTTAATCCTAGCACTCAGGAGGCAGAGGCGGGCGGATCTCTGTGACTTCGAGACCAGCCTGGTCTACAAGAGCTAGTCCCAGGACAGCCTCCAAAGCCACCAAGCAAACCCTATCTCAAAAAAACCAAAATTAACTAACTAAATAAATAAATAAACAAAAGAAAAAAAACCAGCAATAGCAAAAGTAAAACCAAAACAAACAAAACACTGTGAAATGTGACAAAATCACTTGCATTTTGAACAGTTATGGGATCCTGCTTTCTCAGTCTATTTGGAAACTGAGCAGCTGCCTCTGAGAGAGAAGCTGGGCTTGCGGCTCATGTGGGCCTGGACCTCTTGGGCCTGGGGAGGATTTGACAATTTTTTCTGTGGTAATAACAGTAAAAATAGGATATCTGTCTGTCGGTCCATTCATCCATCCACCCATCCACCCACCCACCCACCCACCCATCCATCCATCCACCCATCCACCCACCCACCCATCCATCCATCCACCCACCCACCCACCCACCCACCCATCCACCCACCCACCCACCCATCCACCCATCCACCCATCCACCCACCCATCCACCCATCCATCCATCCATCCATCCATCCATCTTTCTTCCCTTCCCTTTCCTTTTTCCTTCCCCTTTTCCTTTCCCCTCCTTTCCTCTTTCCTTCCCTTCCCTTTCTTTTCCTTTCCTTTTCTCTCTCCCTTCCTGCTGCCCTCCCCTTCTCTTTCCCCTTACTTTTCTTTCTCTTTTTTTTATTTTATTTATTTATTTTTATTTTAATTTTAAATAGCTTGTTTTACATGTCAATCCCAGTTCCCTCTCCCCCCCCCCATCACCCCAGCCTCCCACCCTATTGCCAATTCCTGCCACATAGGGGATATCTAGAGTCTGTCATTTCACTCAGGGCAGGGTCCAGGCACTTCCCTAAGAGTCCAGGCAGAGAGAGCATCCCTCTTTGTGCTATGGGCACACAATGTCTGTTAGTAATCGAGGGATAAACACTGATCCACTGCTCAGGACCTCATAGGTAGCCCAGGCCTCCTCACTGACTCTCACACTCAGGGGGTCCGGATCGGTCCCATGCTGGCCTCCCAGCTGTCGGTCTGGGGTCCAAGAGCTCTACCCTGTTCAGATCAGCTGTCTCTGCTGGTTTTGCCAGCCCGTTCTTTGCCAATTTGCTCTTTGCTCCTCTCTCTCTGTCGCTGGGTTCCTTGGGTTCTGTTTAGTATTTAACTGTGGGTTTCATGTAGTGCCGGCAATGCCAACCCCATGCTGATGCCAGCTCTGCGGTTTCTGACGGCTCCTGCGTGTTCACCGGCCCAAGGTGGTGTGTACTTTGACTTTGGCGTCTCCATGGTCTTGCATGGCCCTCTAGTGGAAAGCACCTCCAAGCCTTCCCTCGGCCTGACTGAGAGGATGTTGTACGCTTGTGTAATTAGGTCCTCTGCATGCCATACACGCGCACGTACCTTTCTACGTCTGTTCTTGGGATTAGCTCACCTACCACACGCCAGCCCAGGCACTTGAGTGCGGGCATTCGTGTGAAAGAAGCCATTAGCTTCTAAAATTCTAAAGTTCTACTTAGATATTGACCCCTGTCTGTCTTCCTTTCCAGTGGCTGCCAGCCAAAAGCAACCGTCAGTCACAAATAACCCCCACCCCCCTGGCTGGCTGTGGTAATGTGGGCAATAGGGAAATCCCAAAGGTGACAAGTGCTGTCAGGGTTTCACTAGAATCGGGGAGCAGGCGAGCTCACAGCCGTGAGTGAGGTACCCAGTACATAACTGCTTCTAAAAGGGCCAGGCTGGACCATGCTTCTAGCTACTCAACAAACATGAGGTGTCCGGGCAAGCCCACTTCAGGGGGAGGTGCTCCACCCCATCTTTTTAGATTATAGGGGTTTTAGGGACTGGCTAGAGCAAGCCACAGTGCCTGCTGGGTGCAGCTGAGCCGTGTGTGGCCCCTGGACACGGGGAAGGACAGGTAGGATGATGGGGGGCATCTTTGTCACTCTCTTTCTACCGTCTCCCTTCTCCTCCTCCCCTTCTGTCCTTCTTAGCCTTTCTTCCTCCTCCCTCTCCTCCTGCTCCCTCCTCATCCCTCTTCCTCCCTCCTCCCGCTCCTCCCCCTCTTCATCCCTCTTACTCCCTCCTCCCGCTCCTCCCCCTCTTCATCCCTCCTCCCGCTCCTCCCCCCTTCCTGGACTTTCCCCTTCCATCTCCCCTTCCTCCTCCTCCTCCCCCCCCACCTCCTTCCCCATCCTCTCATTCAGTTTCTCTTACAAACAGCAGCAGCAGAAGAAACGGTTTTGCTGGTTTCTTTGACCTCACCATCCAGCAGCGGCCCTTCAGCTGTCTGGGTCTGGTTAGGGATTTGACTTTTGAGTCAGTTCACGTTAGTGTCATGCCAGCTACTCCTGTGGGATAGCAGTGAATCCCTGTGTAGCTCGGGGGGGGGGGGGGCTCCGGACAGTGGGCCCTGTCTCTGCTTTGAGCTGGTCTCCCCTGCAGCTCCACCGTGGGCTCCTCCCACCTTCTCCACCGTGGGCTCCTCCCACCTTCTCCGCCGTGGGCTCCTCCCACTTTAACCTTGATGCTGGAAGCGCAAATCCGGTTCGAGGTCTTAAGGTGGGTGACCACTTCCGAGCCCTGACTGCACCCTCCCTGATAGTCTGAGGCTGAAGCTGAGTTTATTTGCCTTTACCACCCACAGTGTCCTTGTGTAAGAAGACCTATATCTGGTGGCTCGGGGTTTGGGGGGGTGGGGTGCGCCCTGAGCCTGGGACGGGCACTCACACAGTCCCGTCCTCTGAAGGCTGGTCTTTTTTCCACAGAGCAGCCTCTACAGTGAGAATGGCATGGGGGTGGCCACACTCAGCACCATCTACTGTACTATGATGCTGTCCTCCATGTTCCTCCCACCTATCCTCATCAAGAGGTTTGGCTGCAAGTGGACTATGGCAGGCGCCATGTGCTGTTACATGACCTTCTCCCTGGCCAACTTCTACGCCACCTGGTACAGCCCCTATAGTCAGTCCTCCCCGGAGCGTGTGAGCCTTGCAGACTCACGCAGGCCACCGCGCTCTGCTTCTGAGTTAGAATGCACCCCGCACCCCCCCAACCCTCCCCCCGAGATTCTATGAAGGGACGGTATTATGATTCTCTCTTTGTCTATCCCTGTGTCCCAGCCGGCTTCCCCTCGTACTCCCGACCCTAGGGCTGACCTTCTCTTGGGATCTCTCCTGCCACCCATCCCCAGCCCCCCACATCCTCATGGCTCTAACGGTTAGAGAGTCTGATGTAGGTGGTTCTCAGAGAGATTTAGCCAGCAAGGGACCAATATCCCTTCCCCGTGCAGCTTTTGAGAGGGAGAAATCACACTGGCCTCTTAGGGGCACGCCCCCGATCCCACTCCATCCCGCTGGGCTTCTGTACGGACACAGCCCTGATCCCTTCCTCCACTCTACTGGGTCTTTCTGCAGGTACACCCTGATCCCGACCTCTGTCTTGCTGGGCCTGGGTGCAGGTCCCCTGTGGTCAGCTCAGTGCACCTACATCACCATCATGGGAAATTTGCAAGCGCAGAAAAAAGGGAAGATTCCCAGGGACGTGGTGACCCAGTACTTTGGCATCTTCTTCCTTATATTCCAATCTTCTGGAGTGTGGGGCAACCTGATTTCCTCACTGGTGTTCAGCCAGGCAAGCAATAAAGGTAAAAGCTGAGGCCTGAGTGGCCTTGGGAAAAAGCCAGGTCTCCGCGACAGCAAAGTTGAGGTCCCAATCCCACCTATGCACCTGTCCTTACTGTGGAGGCCGGTGGTCCTGCCACGTTGGGGACAGTCAGGAGGTTAAGCAGCTGTCTTTTTCCACAAGTACCCTGTGGAGGTTGGGGAGCCCCTCGGGAAAGGGTGTCATGAGGAAAAAACTGGGCACTCACAAACTCCTGCTAGCATAATGTGGGTCCCTGGAGTGGCTGAGAATTTATGTGGATTGTTACCCTGTAAAACTGATCCTCGAGCCGGTGTTAACGCCATCTGTCAGACCCTTTGTCCTGTGACTGGAGGAGTGTTCCGTGTATGTCTTCCCTCAACCCCACCCAGCAGGGACAGAGGCAGCATCCCACTTCATGCCATGCCCAGGCTGGAGGACTTCAACCTCCTGGCTTTCCGGATGTGACATTTCTGGATTGGGATGGCTTCTGTCTCTCCATCTTGGCCATGTGTCTGGCTTCTCCCAGGTCACCTGCCGGCAGGAAGCTCAGAAGTCACCCACCTTCTTCCCTCCACAGGGACAGTGTGTCCCAGGCAGGAAAGATCTGCCGTGCAATGCAGATGGTCTTGCTTACAATAACCCCTGTCACTTAGCCGAGATGCTGCAGAAAGCGGTGTCGAACCCACCATCTCTGTGTCATAGTAGGTGAAGGGCCATGGCCTGCTCCTAGATTCAGCCAGGCCACTGCACTCATTGCCCGAGTAGTAAGATAATCCCCCACTGGCATGCCCAGAGACTGACCTATCCTAGAAAAAACAGTCCCACACCTCACAAATGTGCCCAGAGGCTGTCTCCTATGTGACTTTAGATCCTGGCAAGCTGACAACACTATCACAATAGTTTCAACTTACATATGTGTGCATGCATGCATGAGTGTGCGCGCGTGTGTGTGTGTGTGTGTGAGACATGTTGGGCAGGTATTCACCATCAAACCAGTCATCTGGGTTCGGGTGTTTTTCCTGCATGTACGCCTGTGCACCATGTGCAAGCGGGTGCTAGAGAGGGCATTAGATTCTTTGGAACTTGAGTTATGTACAGCTGTGTGCCAGTATTGGGTGCTGGGAACCAAACCTGGGTCCCTCTGCAAGAGCAGCCAGTGCTAACTTCTGGGCCACCTCTCCAGCTCCGAACTCACTTTTTTTAAAACAAATAAAAGAACTAGCGTTCATTTCCTGAAACAGGAAAGACACAAAGTCACCTGCCCCAGTTGAGCACGCTTTTGCTGCCGGTTTTGGCCTCGGGTGTCCTGTTTAGTCGCTAGAATCCTCACCTCATCTTCTTGATTTCAACTTCATTAGACACCATCCCCGAAGATCAGCTCATGCTCTGTGGAGCCAAAGACTGCGGCTCCGTGGGTACAGAGGCCAGCAATAGTACCCATCGGCCCTCCCAGCAGCTCGTCTACATACTGCTGGGCATCTTCAACGGTACGTACAAATGCCCAGCCTCTTATTGTGGTAACAGGATCTCTCTTCCAGCCCATCAGTAAGCTCTGTCCACAGAAACCCCTGCCACACTTACCTGGCAGAAGAGACACCATGATCACGAAGGCGGCTTCCCCCTGCATTAGTGATTGTCCATTGCGATTTCCCAAATGTAGGGGACGTGGTGTATACTGTGCGGTAGCGGGGGGGGGGCTACGTCTGTGTTTGCCCTTTAATAGAGCAAAACCCCTGCCAGTTGCAGAACGGATCTCTGAAACCAAACTCAGTGGCCAATGCTGTCTACCCAAAGTTTCGTGTGACCTAGAAATGTGAGGGTGCACGGTCCTAAAATAAGGGTGTAGGTTTGTTTAACTGGGAGCCAGGGAGGTGTCCCGAGTCACCTCTGTCTTCCTACTGTCCTTGATCATCTGCGATCTAGACATTTGCTCACCAGACAGCCCGTGTACACCGTGGGATGATGGGGACACCCGGCTTGTGCCTCAATAGCTCCCCTGTCCCCCTTTCTGCAGTGGGGAGGCTAGACACCTATGGAAAGTACTAGGATAAAGTGATTTCCCTATCCCCTCTCTGCCACACCTAGACAGCCACAGGGAACCTGGGTGTGTGAAATGGCAGTGCCTGTCAGCTGGCATGGCCCTCTTTCTGGTAGGTAGGCAGGGTCAGAGGGCAGATCATTCAGGGTCTGAGTATCACGTGATCTCACTGTACCGTGTGATTTGGGGGGGGCGGGGTGGAGTCACAGATGGCATTGATGGATGAGTCTGAGTTCAATAGAACTCTATGTGTCTGGAGAATTCTGTCATCTAAGTGGCAGGTCAAGTGGCTTAGGGAAGGAGACCGTGGCCCAGGCTGGGTGGAGACGTCTTATTCTGACACCTGATGCTGCTGCGGCTGCTGCTTGCGACTCCCTTTTGGGCATGTCACCGCAAACAATCATGCCCAGAGTGCGCTGGGTGACTGGGGGTGATTGTCTGGGGGTTCCCAGCGTCGCGAAGTTTCTTGGTTTTCAGAGTGCAATGTCTCAGTTCTGTGACACCAGTTCATGCCTTGGAAGGTCCCAGGGCCACTTGGCCTTGGATGCGCACACCTCTGAGCAGGGAGAGGTGTGACTCCTGAGACCAAGACCCTCCGCTGACAGGCTCTCACTACTTCTTGTTAGGGGTGGTGTTCTTTAGACCACCCCCAAAAAACTTGAAGTCTTTTGCTGCGGAGCAGACCGTGGAGAAGGAGCCGCCTCCCATAGGTGAAGAAGAGACACGTGTTTCCCAGTGTTTACTCGCAGTCAACCCTGGGATGGTTGGAAAGACAGGGCATGCCTCCCGTGCCCAGACACACCTGTTCTTTGAAAGGGTCCTTGCAATTCTGAGGCTCGACGCTCAAGGCCTTGGGTTCTCCCACACAGTGGGGTACAACCCATAGGCCCCTGGTCAGAGCTGCCCGGCCTCATCAGCACCTGATAAGTGTCATCGAAATCTTGCACTTGAGTGGCTTGGGAGGTGGTGTGTTTAGTCAGGAGGGAAAGTGGCTGAGTTATGGAAAGCCTTGAAAGGGATCTGGACTTCCCTGGGGGTGAGTGTGTTAAAGAGAGGGGTTTCAAGGATGGGTGCTGAGACCGGGTGGACCATTGCTGCAAACGTTCTCCAAGAGAGCTGGCATCACAGAGCCCACGGCTCCATAAGGCCGGGTCACAGTGTCACTGTCAGCGTCATATTATCACCGCCAGGACTGAAAGGGAACAGTCACACACCCTGAATGAGTCTGATACACACTGGCTGGCTGGGTCTCGCACCCAGAGTGTGCACCACTTCTGTCCCCGGGGACACTTGTCAGAAAGCAGACTAGCAGTGCTCAAAAGATGTCACAAAAGGCACCTCACACCACTAGGGGACAGAGGGGCCCCTGTATAAGCCGATACATGACATAAATGTGTCTCCTGTGCAGGGACATGAAGGTGGCCGGGACAGTAAAGTAGGCAGATGGTGAGGACAGATTCATTTGTTTGTTGCACTTTGGAATTATAGATTTACAGAATGATGGGGATGAAATGAGTAGTTTTGGGTTCTTTGTATTTTTTGTTTTTGTTCTGTTTTTTTTTATCAGATAACCCCTAAGCACAAATACATTAAAAGGCCCTTAAGATCCATGGTGTCCTCTGTTAACCGTCCCTCAAGCACACCCCTCTCCAAGGCCTGTCCCCAGACAGTGTATGTCTGCAGGGGCCTTCAGGGTGTCTGATGCACAAATAGATTTTTGCATCCCTCTTTGACTGATACATAGTGCTATTATGCCTTGCTTTGTTTTCCTCTTGTCATCTGTCTTGGGGGGGGACTTTTGTTTTTATCTTCTTTAAAAGCGTGCCACTCAGCCGGGCGTTGGTGGCGCACGCCTTTAATCCCAGCAGACTGGGGAGGCAGAGGCAGGCGGATCTCTGTGAGTTCGAGGCCAGCCTGGTCTACAGAGCAAGTTCCAGGACAGCCTCCAAAATAATGCAGAGAAACCCTGTCTCGAAAAACGGAAAAAAAAAAAAAAAGCGTGCCACTCTTCTGAGGGTGATGGCGATGTGGCTGGCTCTAAGTGAAAACTAGTCACAGGTGGATTATAGACCTAGCACATAGGCGGCCAAGCGCAGCTTGTCACTGGTTATATGATGGCTAGCTGTCCGCGTTGATGAGGGGTGGAACACGTCTGATGTGTGTCCTTGTAGGCAGCAGTGTCCTGGCCATCCTACTGGTGTCTGTGTTTCTTGAGTCTGTGGAAAGCAAACTGGTGAATGACGGAGATGCGCGGTCCAGGCCGCCACCCATCTGGTCCGTTGTGCTATCGACCTTCACGCTGTTTAAAGACAAGCGTTTGTGCTTCCTGATTCTCCTGCCACTGTACAGCGGCTTCCACCAAGGGTTCCTCTATGGAGAGTACACAAAGGTAGGAGAGAAAGAAGCCCAGGGCTCATGCTGCGTGCCCGTGCTCTACCTAAAGGGACCTGGGGGTGTCCCAAGACCAGTGCTGTGTGCCAGTGCTCTACCTAAGGGACCTGGGGGTGTCCCAAGACCAGTGCTGTGTGCCCGTGCTCTACCTAAAGGGACCCGAGGGTGTCTCAAGACCAGTGGGATCAGGTTCCCAATCTGACAGTGGCTGAATCTATGATTTGAGACATCCATCTCTGACTCCCACAGACATTGTCTTCTTACCTTCATCTTCCCCTCTTCCTCGTCCCCTGAGGACATTCCCTTCCTACCCCCCCCCCTTCGGCCTGGTAGGAAACGATGAGACAAGTCAACCGTATTGTTAATGCTATGTAAAACAGCGTATCACACCTATGGCAAAGAATGTGTAGAAAGGCGTTTGACCAGACGCCTGCCCGTCTGGGGTCCAAAGTAGATTACCCCCCCACCCCCACCCCCGGCTCGTACCAGAGTTGCTCTCCCATATACACAGTAACTCTATCCTTCTTTCTAGTCTTATGTTACCTGTGCCCTGGGCATCCGTTTTGTGGGGTACATAATGATCTGCTTCTCGGGTTTCACCTCGACGTGCTCCATGCTGTACGGGAAGATCTCCAAGTACACAGGCAGGATTGCGCTCTACGCGATGGGTAAGTGGGTAACACTGGTCAGCTTATGCTCCGGGCGGGCGGGCGCTGTGTAAAGGGCACATACAGGGAGGCGAGATGCCGTGGAAGGTGCCCCTGTAGGTGACACGCTTTCCCGTGTCCCTGCTGCGCGCCTTCTGCCCCACCCCACCCCCGGCCACCTCCTGCCTTCCTCCAATGAGAGGAAGGCATAGCATGCTTTCTTTCTTGGACTGCCAGCCCCCACATTATGACATGGAGACTTTAATATCATTAGTTATGTGTGCTTGGCCTTAGCTTAGGCTTGTTTCTAGCCACCTTTTTTTTTTTCTTTTTTCTGCCTACACGCCAGAAGAGGACACCAGATTGAATTGTAGATGGTTGTGAGCCACCATGTGGTTGCTGGGAATTGAACTCAGGACCCCTGGAAGAGCAGGCAGTGCTCTTAACCTCTGAGCCATCTCTCCAGCCCCGGCGATACACACTTTTAATGCCAGCGGTCATACTAGCAAGCCACAGGAACAGGCAGTGGTGGCACACACCTTTAATTACAGGACTCAGGAGACAGGCAGATGGATCTCTCTGAGTTCAAGGCCACCCTGACCTACACAAGAGTGAAGAGTAACAGAGCTCACGCCTTTGATTTCAGCCCTTGGGGTCGCAACACCTTTAATCCCAGGTGGAGACGGGAGGGATACCACTGGGTGGAGAGAGGAATATTAGGCAGGAGGGGGACGGGAACTCAGAGCCTTTGCCTCTGAGGATCCGTGGGGACAGGATTGCCCTTTCGGCTGAGTAGGGGTGAGATTACTGGCCGGGCTGCTTTGCTTCTCTGATGGTCAGCTTGAAAGCTCGAGCCCCAAAATATCTGTCTCTGGGTCTTTTTATTATCCGTGTCACACCCCCTCTTGGAGTCAGCCACACGCTACACACTCGTGCTTCTACGCACTGCGTGAAAACCATCAGAAAACCTGGAGGCAGGTGGGTACTTTGCCCCACCCCGCCCCGCCCCGAAACAGGCTACCCGAGGCCGGGCAGAGGGGACAGCCACCCACCGTCCTGTCTTGTCTCCTCTAACCAGGTGCTACCATTCACCTGTCCTGCTTTCTCACCCTCCTCCTGTGGCGCCCGACCCCGGCCCAGCTGCCCGTCTTCTTCGTCATCCCTGCCTTGTGGGGGATGGCAGACGCCGTGTGGCAGACGCAGAACAACTGTGAGTGCCCGGCACAGGCTGGCGGTGCGTGGGTGGTCTCCCGCGGTGAAGCCGTGGCGAGGGTAGCCAGGCCAGAAGGCAGCCACTAAGGCGGGAGCCCAAGCTTTCTGCGTGTGTCCAGACGAAGCCCCGCCCCCGCCCCGCCCCCGCCCCGCCCCCGCCCCGCCCGCGCCCCGCCCCCCAGCGGTAGAAAGGCAACTCTGGAACCCTGGGAGGTGAGACAGACAGGGTCTCCAGGAACCATGCTCCAGGGCCTGCAGTGCGCTCTCAAACCTGAGCACGCGTGACGTGGTCCAGGGGTCAAGTCAAGTGAGACCAGGGCCTCCGGGCAGCGCGTGTGGTCCCCTGGGGGTGCCGACAGGTGTGCACAGGCGAGGAGCCAGACAGAGGTGATGATGGCGGGGTAAAGGACCATAGCCCATCCAGATAGGGGCCGCAGAACGCTCGTCCATACGTCACCCTGTATCCCGTGGACACGAGGCCATAGAAGATGGAGAAAGGGGACAGAGAGGGGGAAGACGGCCTGCTGCGGGCAGAGGTTAGCAGCCCTGACGGACAGTCAGAATCCAAAATGGAGGTCAGAAGTTTCCACGGCTCTCCTCCTCCGCCCCCCTCCCAGCACAGAGTCAGAGACAGGGAACATGACCCCTTGACCTTGTAAAAATGGCTAGTGGTGGACAGCAGAAGTAACTATGAAGAAGCCACGGTGGAAGCCGCCTGTGAAAAGACCTTCCCCAGTTAGAGTGCGTGATCCGGAGGGCAGCGAGACCAGCAAGTGAGCGGCATGGTTAGACAGGAGGGTGGCATGGCTCTGGAATGCTGCCGTCCCAACGGGCCATGGAGCGGAGATGCCAGGCCCCGGAGATGCCAGGCCCCGGGGCTGTACCGGGGAAGGCCCAGGAGAATGGGCAGGAGAGTCAGTGGTGTGACAAAGGGGCGGAGGTGCCAGGGCACTTGCACTGGATGTGTTGGGAGCTCTTGTAGCTCAGGGAGGGCTCCGGGGAGAGGAGGAGGCAGGATGCTGTGTGGATGACACGGGCACAGTAGAGGAGACAGGGTGTACATTCGGGTGATGGCTATAGATGATGTCGGAACCCTCAGCCCTCAGTCTCCCGCAGACACCTAACGGCTGGTTTGTGCCTCTGGACCAGGGAGGGAAAGGCTGTGTGTCTGGAATATGGAAGCCTGAGGGAGCCCTGAGATGGGTAGGGTTCATACGTTACCCCTTTCCCACCACACACGGGTTTAAACACCGGCCGAAGAAAACCCACAGGGGCTTGAGGCCTGGGTTGCCAGGGATGGGAGGCCCAGTCGCTCCTTCCGTATCTGCATGGGACCACACCTTCCAGAGCTCTCCTTGCTATGATCCTTAGGTGCTATGTGCTTACAAGAGCTGGGAAAAATTCCCCAGAGAAAGCTAAGCTACCTGGATACAGAGGGTCTGGCTGCCGCCATAGTACGGTGGGGCTTTAGTGGGGACTGAACCAAATGACAAGTGTGCGTTTGGCTGGTGCCTTCATCTAGTTTTTTGTTTTGTTTTTGACTAAAGTCAGTAACTAGGAAAAAAAAAGCTAGACTTTTCTTGTGTTGGGATGTGCTCCTATTTCTTAGGAATATATTGGTTCAGAGAGAGAGAGAGAGAGAGAGAGAGAGAGAGAGAGAGAGAGAGAGAGAGAGAGTGTGTGTGTGTGTATGTGTGGTGAGGGTAGGGTAATCAGAAATTCACTTTAACTCTTCGTGGAAGTCCAGAAGTATAAGCCAGTGACATAGCAGATCAACTAGGGATCCTTAGCTTATCCAGCCAGCACCAGAGAGGAATTACACCAAACCCCACACAGGCCTAAGAGTTCACTGAAACACACTCAGAGTCCTGTCCTCTGCATGCTGACAAACTTCTGGACTCACTGAATTTTCAAAAGCATTTACCAAAGCAAAGGAGGAGGCCGGATAGGCAGCCTGCTTTATCCCGCCCTCCAGCTCTGCAGAGGTTCACAACGATCACGGTAAAAACAATTTGTTTTCTTTCTCTCTGAAACATATGGATAATTACTTTAACTCTCCCTTTCTTTAAATGGACATAAAATTGTCAAGAAAGCACCTCTGTTAAACTGTGCAAATTCCCTGAGACCCGATAGACATATTATGAGCACTTAAGTCCGGGAGGTGATCTGAACAATGACTCCTTTGAATAAGGGACACTAATTTGAAGTGGAATAATGTCATTCTTCTTGTACAGGCAAGAGTGTGATTTTCGTTGTTGTTAAAAGACAAGCCAGTTTCTTTGCAGCCACCCCAGTGAGGGCGTGTTATCTTAGCGCTGGGTCTTGCTTCGGGCTCCACAAAGCTTCCCACAGCACGACACACCCACATGACACACCCACATGGCAGCATCCAGACCGTGGTCTGTCCGTTTCCAACATAGCAATTGGGTGTAGCTTTGGCCACGTCTCAAGAGCAGTGCCGTGTGGGTCTGGGGAGGTGCCGTAGTGGGTGAGAGCACTTGCTGCATGAGTAACCTGATGACCAGAGTTTGGGATTCCCCCCAGGATGGAGCCTGTGACCCCAGCATTGGGGGAGGGGAACTGAGGCAGGAGAATTGCTGAGACCTGCTTGGCCAGGCCGTCCAGCAGAGAAAACGGGCAGCTCGGGCTCTAGTGAGAGACCCTGTCTTTGGGGGGCTAAGGTGACAATGGTAGAGCAAGGTGCTCCGCATCCTCCTCGGGGGGGCCTCTGCACACGCATGCGCATATGCACACAAAGGACAGACAGCGGTGATAATGCCCTCTTCTAGGTCCTAGACAAGAGTAAGCTCGGCGCGTGCACACACCCCCGCCCCCACCCACTGTTTGAGTCGCCAGTTTCAAACCCCTCCGTTTAGCTGGGCGTCACTTGCTCCTCTTGGGGCTGGGTACCCCGAGGGCTTCGGGAGTTTCTTCAGCCTCCCGGCAGCGAATCTGCGCCTATCTGCTCATCCGGTCTCACAGCTGAGGGATTTGGGTGCAGTTGCTATAGCGACCCTCACGTGCCACCGCACTGCGTGGAAGACAAACATGGGACGCTCATCTCAAAGATACAGGCTGCCCTGTCGGTTGCAGAAGGGGCTGTTTTCAAGCTGGCAAGCGCCCGGGGCCTGACTTCTTCTGTGCGCCCTGTTTGTTTAACCTGTCTTCCCAACAGAGGGAGATGCCTGTTTGCTCGTTCATGTCACCTTATCTAAGGACTGGAATCAGTGTCTCCGTCACTTTAGCTTCAAGTGCCCCGAGGAGGTGAGGCAGCTAGGCCAGGCTGATGCTGAGAGCAAAGCGAGTTTCTTTGTAAGCAAGCACGTTATTTCACAAGCTGCAGAGACGGTGCCAACTCTGCACAGAGCCACGGTATAGTCCCCCAGTTCTATCCGCCTTTCATGACCGGGGAAAGCTGGCTGCTCTCAGGACACGGGTTCACTGTGGCTCACCAAGGGTAGAGACCCTGGGATTTTACCAGTTTACCGTAAGCCTCATTTTCTGCCCCGAGATCCTCTGTTGGGTGCCAGTCTGCGCTTGGGCATCCATGTCTGTGTAGTTGGACACAGGGATGGACTTGCTTTGCCATGGCCCCTCACCCATCCATATAGATACTGCTGGTCTGAACGTCTGTTTTCTTCCGGGCATTCCCTTCACTCGCCTGTCTAGTTGTTACCAGTGTGGACAAGCGGACGTCATGTCCCCTCCCCTTCTCTCTCTCTCTCTCTCTCTCTCTCTCTCTCTCTCTCTCTCTCTCTCTCTAGTTATAGCTGATGTGGACACCTCTCCCTCAGGGCTGGTTTGATTAGCAGACATTCCTGAAGGGAAGGTGGTTGCTCTGCCCATGTCTCCAAGTCTCCTGCAAAAGGCCATTTGAGCAATGCGCCCAAGTCCTTAGCTTCTCGGCTATTTGGGACATAGCTTCTGGTGGAACCGTGTTGGGCAGAGACGGACGGGGTCACCCCTGCTGGCTCAGTTTCCCGATGGATCAGCCTGAGTCTCCACAGTTATCAGTTCTAGAGCTCTGACTCTCCCACCCTGGGGCCCTCCATCTAGAAGGTCTCTACCCCGGGTCCTTCACCCTAGGGCCCTCCATCTCCATATTGGGCCTTTCTACCCAAGGTCCTCCATTCTGAAGACCCCTTCCTGTGTTATCCAAGTCAGGGTCCTCCCTCCCGTGGTTCTCGACCTTGGGTCCTCCAACCCGGCCCATGGTGCGGAGCCAAGCAGGATTTCTAGGGGCAGTGCAGGGTGCTGAGGGTGGTCTTGGTGAAGAGAGAGGCTGTTTGGGTAGGAGTTTTGACACAGCAATCCACAGTGTAGACAGGCACCAGGGTCTGTCGTCCACTTATGGATTCCCTCTCAGGAGGTACCTCTGCCACTCAGCCAAGTCATGCAATGGGATTCCTGCAACTCTCATTCAGATCAACCAAATATGCCTCGCCCAGCACAGGAAGCAGTGGTTCAGACTCGCTCGGTTCAGAAGCAGAGCGCAGCATCCGGCTGTGTGAGTTTCGAGTTTGCTGTAAGCAACAATAACAACAACAAAAAATACCACAGGCCGGGGACCACAGCGAACATGGATTTTCTCACCATTCCCTCTGCCAGGCTTTTTCTCCCCTCAGGAGGTCTCAGGAGTGCACACGTGTGACATGGACATAGGTGCTGTGTGTCAATTTAAAATGAAAAAGAAGCCTCCAAAACAATACAGAGAAACCCTGTCTCGTAAAAACCAAAAAAAAAAAAAAAGAAAGAAAGAAAGAAAGAAAGAAAAAACAAACAAGACTGCTGAGAACACTAAAGATTAAATAGAAGACATGCCAGGCAGTGGTGGCGCACTCGGGAGGCAGAAGCAAGCGGATCTCGGTGAGTTCGAGGTCAGCCTGGTCTACAGAACGAGTTCCAGGACACAGCCAGGGCCACACAGAGAAATCCTGCCTTGAAAAACAAAACCAAGATGAAAAACAGAAGTCACAGAACTAGTAATAAAAGTTTGGGAACGTTCAAGTGGCATTGACGCTACTTCAAAACACTGGACAGTGGGTATCGACTGCGAGGCTGGTGTTATCCAAGTGTTGGTGCCAGACCCTTGGACGGACAGATATGGGTCCCATGAATACAACTCATTACCCTTTGGTTCCAGGGATGGGGGAGGAGCTGTACCTTGTCTTACACTGTGAGGGTTGAAGAAGCTCCATTTTGTGCCAGGCACCCATCCCGGTACCCACCAAGCCATTTGTCCAGTCCCTGGAAGACAAGTTCCCGGTAATTCCAACTCAGTGACACCCACCCCCCACCCAGAGATGTACAGCAGTGACTGTCCACTTGTTAAAGGACTAATTGCTTTTCTGCTTCTGTAACTCGCTCATGCAGGCACCCGAAGACTGTTTTGAGTTGCCTTAACCCCTTCGCTTGGCAGAACAGATCAGTGCTTGCCGGCTTGCACGGACAATGGAAGGGTCTTGTTGTGCTCTCCCACTTTTAAAAAAAAAGTCTTCTCTCAACTCTCCTCCTCACGGCAATCTCAGCTTTGGCTCAGAGATCGTCTGTCCTGCTGGAGGCTAATCAATAAATCTTTCTGTTATGATTGGGCTACATCTATGGTCTTTTCCCAGGGGTCACAAACTGCATGACAACACACACTGAACTCTTTGCTCTCCTTCATCATCCTTGGAGGACTGGCCAGCTCCCTCCACAGCTACTACTCTGTGACTCCCATGTCCCTTATCCTGTCCCGTGCTGCCCACTGCCAGAGGATATCTCCTGATTTGTCAGCATAATTCTGTCTTGTTTCTTTTTTTTTTTTTTAGAAGAAAAATATCCAGGCCGGGCGTTGATGGCGCACGCCTTTAATCCCAGCACTCGGGAGGCAGAGGTAGGAGGATCTTTGTGAGTTCGAGGCCAGCCTGGTCTACAGAGCGAGTTCCAGGACAGCCTCCAAAGCCACAGAGAAACCCTGTCTCAAAAAACCAAAAAAAAAAAAAAAAAAAAAAAAAAAAAGAAAAAAAAGAAGAAAAATATCCAGATTTTCCTTTCAATAACACTGGCAGTGGCAAAGCCTCTCTACGTTTAGGATTAATTTATGGACCATGCTTAAGGTCTTTGTGTACGTTTGTGTGTGTCTATGGATAGTATATGTATTTGCATGTGTTTTTGTGTATGCATGTGGTATCTTTGTATGTATGTACATGCATGCTTGTGGAAGCTAGAGCTCAACATTATCTTAGTCACTCCATTTTTTTTCCATTTTTTCAGACAGGGTTTATCTATGTAGTTTTGGAACCTATCCTGGAACTTGCCTCTGTAGACTAGGCTGGTCTTGAACTCACAGAGATCTGCCTGTCTCTGCCTCCTGAGTGCCGGGAATAAGGGCATGTGTCACCACCTCCTGGCTCCATCGTATTTTTTGAGACAGAGTCTCTTCTTAGTTGAGCTGGGTGAGCTGGCTAGTAAGCCCCAGAGATCCGCCCTCTCCGCACTAGGACCACAGGCCAGGGCCTGGCGTTTTCTGTGGGTGTGGGGAGTCCGAAGCTCACGCTCTCACACTCACACACGTGCACTTAACCCACCAAGTCCTGCTTGATGTCTTACACAGCTCTCCTCCACAGCTCTCTACGGCGTCCTGTTTGAGGCAAAAAAAGAAGCTGCTTTTGCGAACTACCGACTTGGGGAAGCCATGGGATTCCTCGTCGCCTTTGGGTACAGCTCATTTTTGTGTGTGAGCACCAAACTCTACATTCTCTTCGGCATGTTGAGCGTGACTATAACGGCTTACGGGACTGTGGAGTACATGGAATCCAGGGCCGCTAGCCAGGTCCCTGCTGTTGCAGAAGAGAGAAATCAGCCCAAGAAAGAAGGGAAAGCAGAAATGTGAGTGCAGCCAGACTGTGGCCCCAGATTCAGCCTGGGTCAGCAGAGGAGGTGTGCGTAGCAACACCCAGTAGGTAGATATGGTTATTCACAACCTGTTTCAGCAATATGTGAACATTCTGAAGAGCATCTATTTTTTTACGTATTTTTCTCAATTTAACAAATTTCCAGTCCGTTTTTCTACTCACAGAGACCAAGAGTCTATGCAAAGGGCTGGGAATCCAGCCTAGAGCTGGTGTGCTTGCTTTGCAGGCATAAGCACAAGGCCGCATGTTCAGTCCCCAGTACTACGGAAAGAAAGCAGCTTCCATGTTTTATAGGAGCAGGGGAGATGGCTCAGTCAGTGCAGAACTTTCTGGGCCAAAGGTGAGGACGCCAGTTTGAACCCTTAACACACATGAAAAAAAGGAAAGGAAGGGAGGGAGGGAGGGAGGGAGGGAGGGAGGAAGGGAGGAAGGGAGGGAGGGAGGAAGGAAGAAAGATAGAGAAGGGTAATGGCAATGTGCACTTGTAACTCTAGCACTGGGACTGGGGAGGCAGAGGCAGAAAGATCCATGGAGCACATTGGCTATCCAGGCTAGCCAGACCCATGAACTCAAGTGAAAACCTTGTCTCAGAGACTAAGGCTGACAGCAGCTAGGGTCACCTAATGTCAGCCTCTTGCCCCCCACACAGAGTCTCACACACACACACACACACACACACACACACACACACACACACACACTACATATACACACACAGGCACCAAACACACCCACCACACACACACACACACACACTACATATACACACACAGGCACCAAACACACCCACCACCCACACACACACCATACAGTCACACACAAACACACTAAATATACACACACAGGCACCAAACACACCCACTACACACACACACACTACATATACACACACAGGCACCAAACACACCCACCACCCACACACACACCATACAGTCACACACAAACACACTAAATATACACGCACACGCACCAAACACACCCACCACACACACACACACACATCATACAGTCACACACAAACACACTAAATATACACACACAGGCACCAAACACACCCACCACACACACACATACACACACCATACAGTCACACATAACATACACACACACACACACCACACAGACACAGTCACACCACACCACCCACCCATCCACACACACACTACATGAAAGTATCTGCTCACTTAATTATAGATATTAAAAGAAACACATAAAAATTTTCCAAAGTAGGTTTACCTCAGTTTTTGGTTTTGTCGTTGTGTTTAATAATTGGAAGAACCATAATTTTGCAAACAGGTGAACGTATAGCGCCGCAAGTTTTAAAAATGGACACAAAAAGTCAACTGAGAAAAGCTCATAGGGTGGGCAGCTACTGCACAGCCGGTGTCTCTTGAAATCTCCTGGGGGTTTTCTAAATAAAGAGCACAATTGTTTTATGAACCTACTTCCTGCCTAAATATGTTTTCTAAACACTCACATGTATCAGAAACACACACAATACACACTCATACGCACACTCGCATGCAACGCTCGCACGCGCACACACAACATGCATGCCCCTGTCAGAAGTTGTGCATGTTAGAGGCCGCAGGAAGGATTTCAAATGGGACGCTTGATGCTCAACTGTGGCTGTGGTGAAGTCAAATGTAATTTAGGCATAGAACCTTCCGGGTGCTGAACGCTATGGCCACGGTGGAGTCAGACACGGCGGCATGTGTGTTACATACCACACGCGGCCGCACGTATATAGTCTATAGTCATCATCTGCGTTCATCATCCCAGGGGCCTCTTTTCATTCTTCCTCATCTTGAACAGCTCCGTCAGTGGCAGACCGCCGTTTTCCTTTGTCATAGAACTCCGAGTCCCTGGCCCCCTTGCCCAGACTCCTTTGCAGTTCCCTCTTTTCTCTTTACCATCACGTGGAGTTTGACCATTTCTGAAGAAGTCAGATTTAGGTGGAAGGCATTCAGCAGGGTGGACGCTTGAATTCCCTCCAGCTTGGAGGTTAGGGATTTGTAGACGAGTCTCACATGAACAGGTGTGAGGTGAGCTTGGTTTAGACCTGACCTCTGAGAGCCCTAGCGCCGAGAGGAGAGCAGGAGATGCGTGGCTGCAAACTTGAGACCCCAGAGCAGCAGCAGGTCTGAATCAGAGAGTCCTGTGGCGTGGGTCTGAGACAGAGCCACAAGCAGTGCTAAGTTTATTTTTTATTTTTTAGGGGTGGCTGGGTGGAACTAAACAGATAATACTTGGTGCGTTAGGTGGCTTTGCTATCAGGTGTCTCAGTTGTGCGGCTGAAGATGGTGGATCGTAGGGTTCCCACGCAGAACACAGGACTCCTTAGAGAATAAAACTGTCTGCCGTCATCCAGTGAGTGTCCCTCGTCTCCGGCAAGCGCCCCCGAGGGGGTCACTGGTGACAGATGCAGGACCTGCAAGGATTTGCCCACACAACGTGGAAGTGGACCTGTAGCCTAAGGTGTTTCATTGTGTGCACAATCCCAGCCGGCCTGAGTCCCCGTGTGGCACTCTGAGAACCGTACGGCAAAGTTTGGAGGCATTGACCGCACGCACGGAGACACGGACCTCATACTCCGGGGGTTGAGAGTCCAGCGCGCTATTCTTGCTTCAGGAGGCCTTCCTGTCTGGGGCCTCCCTCCCGCCCCCCCCTCCTGCCTCTCTCTCTCTGGTGTTCTTCCCTTTCCTGACCATAGCCCACCTTGCCGCACAAGCCCAGTTTCATAGACAGTGGCCGGGTGCCCCCACCCCCTGTCTGAGATGCAAGTCTGTTTTTTGATCACATGTCACACAGGACTGTACCACATGAACGAGTTGCGGGGGTAGGGCGGGATGGGGGCTTCACTTGACAAGTGTTTTAATTAGCCAGCAAAGCAGGAACAAAACAATAAAATTCCACTCCAGAGAAACCTCTCTTTTACACAAACAGTGTGAGATGAATTGTGGGCAACCGATGTCCCTAAAGCAATAAGACAGGAAGGACAGCGAGGAGGGGTCAGCACCAGGGTAAGAGAGGGAAGGTCAGGGAGACCCCAAGTCACGGCATTCACAGTTGCAGCGCCTACCCTGCGGGATCAAGGTAAGAGGAGGTCCGATTTGGGGTGCGCTCTCTAGATAGGGTCCCAGAGATATGACCGTGTGAAAGAGAGCCCAGAAAATCCCCAAGGACAGAGCTGTCCCTTACCTGGAGGGTGTCTGATTCATGGGCGAAACACCAGCATCTTGTAACAGGGCATGTTAACTCTGATTTGTTGCTGGCAACCCCCTTTTTTAATTTGCATGGGTGTGGTGGGGAACATCCAAGATGGTTACCTCCCCAGCCTCGCTTCCCCATCACAGAGGCGACAGATCACACACAGAAAGCGCCCAACTCCGCGTGGCGGGGTGGAGGAATGCAGAGCTCTGCGGGTCTGCATCCTTGGACCTTGCCAGGTAACACAAGGGTCAAGAGGAAGCGTGGGGAAGAACCAGGGCCTGGCGACTGGCCCAGCTCTGACCAGGACTGCTCATGGCGGTTCCGAAGGCCTGTGTGAGCGAGCGCGAGACTACTCCGTGTGGATGATGGGCAGGAGGCATTTGCTCTCTGTCGTGCTGGAGTGAGGCATGAGAGCAACGAGATTTTTCTGGGACCTCAAATTCATCTCTGCCCCCGGTAATGTAACCAGCCAGGTGACAATGGCCGCTACAGGCACAGCACCTGCACATCGGGAGAGATGGTGATGGTAGAGTGGACTCTTCGTTGTCTTCGAGACTGTGGGGCTGTTGAAGGACTTCAAACAAAAAGGTGACCATTTTATAGTAGTTAATCAAGGGCGGGGGGACACACGTAACTAACAGAGAACAGGCCTCAGGGGCCAAGAACACTCCTAAGGGGAGATGGTGGGGAGGAGTCCGTGGGGCCCTGGAGGAGCAGGACGTTCCGTCTGTCTCTTGCGTAGAGCGCTTAGTTGTATAGTTCAGAAGATGATGCCAGGGATGGATTTGGGCCGCCACGGTTGTGCCGCCTCCTTCCCTTGCAGCCTAGGCAGAGGTGACCATAGACCCTGCCATGGGACAAGCCAAAGTTTCTCTGGCGCTGCTCAGTGGCCACAAACCCAGATTTGGTTGCGGCTGTTACCGGGGTTTTCTCTCAAGCCTTCCTGTGAGGCCACATGGGTACTCAGCCCGGGAGAGGACTAAGCCAGAACTAAACCTAGCAGGGATCGAGAGACTCGGCTCCCAGCCAGGCAGTCCAGCACGTGTGAAAACGGCGTGCTCGAATGCGTCTCTGTGTTCAGGTGCTCTTGGCAATGGCAGCTGGCCTGGGCGGCCCCTCCCCTCCGCTCAGATATATCCAAGCACAAAGTGAGCACTGGTCCTAGGAGCTTATCCCCTCAAATGGAGGGGAAAATTAAAAGCTGTTGAATAAAATTAGGATTTCCAAGTCGCTAAAATAGCTAAGCCCAGAAACTCCCTTCCTCTGTTATCTCTTGGACTGGGTATGCTACCCAAATAGGATACATGTCAAACCCAGCTGAAGAGCACAAACTTAATTACACATCTTTTTTTTTTTCAGTGTTTACCAGCATCTAGAGCTGGGAGATACTGAATAATTCATAACAATCAAGAAAGAACAATGCCTTGTGGTTTGCATACCACCAGCCCTGGACTGCTGTTTTGCCTGGTAGATAGTTCAGCCAGCCTCTCGGTGTGACTTATTGTACCTGAAATGCATTAACAGTTGAACAGTCAGTGATACTGGCAACTCGGTGGGCTGATCAGAAGGCTCGCTAGCTCAGAAAGAAATGCTAGACATGTCCCCCTGGCTCCCACTAGATTCAACACACAGGCAGTGCTCAGGCCCCTGTTCGTGGACACCGGAAGTGGTGACAACAGACTTAGCTAAGGGAGGGGTATGTTGGTGTCACTGGAGCTAGCAGGACATTAAAGATTTATTCCAGAAACCCATCTGTTCCTGTGAATGAATACTTTCATGGTTTTCCCAGTCCACAACACAAGGAGAGCCCAGGAAGGGAAGTCCCACTTCCAGAGGAGGCTGTAGCCTTCCTCGTGACAGGTAGGTCTCAGAGTCCCCGGGCAACGACGC